GACTGCAAATTAAGTGCAAAACCTTCGTGGAAAAGATTTGGGAGAACCTCAAAGAGCTAAAAATAAAATACCATTTGACCCAGCAAATAGCATATTAGACATTCTATCCAAAGAGCATAAAACATTCGTATTAGATAAAGACATCTATCACCGCAATGTTATTATGGACAGCAACAATTCACTATGCAAGGATGTGGAACAACCCAATGTCATCCATTCATGAGTAGGATTATAAATTTGTACTTGTTACAAATGGATAATTACTCAATTCTAAGAAACGCACAGCAAAGCTATGCAACCGCTTTAATGGATATCCTGACTTGAGGTTAAGCCCACTTATCCAAAGGTGTGACACAAGATCAGAATAATTGCGGCATCCACATATACTCTCCATCAAATTGGACAACTGATTAACACTATTGGTGGTCAAAGGGTGGGTCGGTGTTCACCAGAGATTCGGCGGGCAGCTGGGCGGACGAGACCGACAGTTCGAGGGATGTCGTGAGCCATTGTCGGAGGGGGAAGCGTACCTGTAACCCTTGCTACGAGAGGCAAAGTATAAAATTGCAACGCAAAATGTCAAACAGGGAAAAACCACCAAAAAACAAGTTTATCGGGCTGTCAGGCAGGGGTCGGGAGGGGGGAGGATGGGGATGGGTAATTATACAGTAGATAGTGAGTGGATGCACCATCTGGGATGCCAGTTGACAGCTCTGACTCCAGCGGCGGGGGTCGGGGAAGGCAATGTACATAAACCTTAACGTTTTTATCCCCATATTACTGCTGAACATAAAATAAAGAAAAAATAAACAGAAGAATTAGATTAATGGCAGCAGAAGCAGAAAAGTAAGCTGTTGGCATGACATTAGGGGTGAGGTTACGGACTACAGACATCACAATGGTGCCAACTCGTAGGGACACGCTGCTGGGTGGCACATTTCACTTTCCAAAAACACAAAATTCCCACTCAGTTTAAAAAGCCATTACCAAACTGTATTGTTTACTACTTGCTACTTTAAATACATCAAAGCACTTCGTACAATATCTAGAAAACAGATATTTCATTAAGAACTTTGCCACTATGTAGCACAGCATAAGATAGAAATTGGCACATACGAGCAATGGCTCATCTGAGAGGCTATCACTCTAAATCCATTGACCATTTTGGCTTGAACATTCCGCTCCTCATTTTTCTCTGCTGCCTGCGTATCATCCAGTGGACAAGTACAGGCAGGCAGTGTAATCTACTTAGCAATGGTTGCAACAAATTCATATTCAAATAAGTCTTTACAGAGCGACAAGCTTTCCTGATACATTTCAGCACAAAGTGTAAAATGTGCTAGGATTGCTTCAACTAAGGTTGACCTCTTGTCATTCAACTCGGCAACCTCTTTACAGTCTAGAAAGACTAAATGCAAATTACGGACACTGTTTTTCCATTACACACACTACATACACAGGTAAGTAAGGACCACAACGTAACACAGACACAGGAACAACGGTAATTCTGTGTCTCGCTATAGACACTGCGCATGAGTCCTTCCTCTTTCCCGCCGTACCCTGACCCCGCTTGCACAAACACAATGGGGCTGCTCAAGAGGACGTTTAGCATTTCCCTCGCCCCAAGACGTGATGAACTTTAACAAAAATCGTATTTACACCAAGGGTGTTACTACTTCACTTTTAACATCGTATCAGACGACGTTCAGAAACATCTGGAAAGACTAGATATTCAAAAAAAGACTAGTAGTCAACTATATACAGTAATGGAGGAATAAAATACACACACAAAACAATGCTTAGATATGAAAATGCCTTCTAAATACGGACCAGTCTGGCACAGAATCTTCTTTTCCTTTCTCAAAGTCTTCTCTGGCTCCATGCCTGCTATACCCACCAACAAACGTGGGAGGCGTGTCACTTCCAGAGCTGGCCTAACAATTGCATTTCAAAATCACCCGCCGGTTTCCGAAGACGATTTTTTTCCCCTTTGATTTTTTTTAAAACAAAGAAGCATTTACGTAAGATGTGCTTACTGCCAGAGCCAGCTGCGACGTTGTGCCCAGCACCTGCGAGTTAGGGGGCGAGGCTGGAGAAATGAAGAGACAACAAAAAATGGACGGCCCGGGACGGAGTCCTTGGTGACTGCGTCCGCTAGTTGAAGGGCTTCAGTTGCCAGCGAGGGTGGCGGCTGGGG